ATTTCTTTCTTTCTTTACTTTGTTAGGTTTCTATGTTGCTGTACACTTTAATAACTGAAGTAACGTAACAACCATTGTTTATTAATAATATTTTATTACTAGTTATCAAGTCTGTCTGTGTATATATATATAAATGTCAGTGTTTAATTGAATGTTTTGTGTTAGTGTAAAATGTTTATTGACAACCTGGTCTATATTCAAGACACACAATCTAAGTCAAGGTCACTCTCTTTTTGAGTACATGATTCTTATCACAACAAGAATTGACAGGTTCTGTCTAGTAACCCAGGCCAAAAAAACATAAACATAACGGGTTGTTGTTAATAGATTAATTCATTTATTAGTTCAAGGGGGTTGGATGGTCGAATAGTTAGCGCATGCACGTTGTATCATAAGGTCCGTCATTGAGTCATCTGGCGTGGTTTCGATTCCTCGGTTGTACGTGACAAGGAGTAGGCCTAGGGTCGCCTGGCCAACCCTGTGAGTTTTCTCGGGGTCCTCCCTCCGGTTTCCTCCCACTGCTAAAGACCCCTATGCACAAGTGAATTATTGAAATAAAATAGAACCATATGTTAGTCCCCGAAATGACGTAGTTTGTGTTGAGCGGACGTTAAACCCCATCTCTCTCTCTCTTTCTTTATGAATCCAGCCAGTGCTATATACATGTATGTGTCTTATTCTGTAGGGTTAGGTCTATTTGATAAGGCCAACTTCAAGGTTGGTCAAACGTCAGTCATCACGAAATGTAAACAGGGCTAGCGCTAATCCCTAACCCTGGATCTAGTCCCAATGTTTACCCTAACCTAGAACCTATAATATCGCCAACAATTACATGCCCTAACCTTATTTACATCTCAGCGACCTTGACAAAAATTGAGTTGGACTTAACAAATAGATTTAGCCATTCTGTAGCCCCTATGGAAAGTAAGGTAACAACAAATGGTTATAGTTGTCTTGGCAACTATAAATACAGTAAATATAGTCATTAGTAAATCAGAATAAGTGTTTAATTAAATGTATTATGTTGATTATTGACAACCTGGTCGAGAAATGCAATCTAAGTCAAGTAAAATCCTGTTGAGTACAAGACTTTTAATAGAATATGAATTGATCTAGTCTATTAAGTAGGCCCCTTCAAAAGCACCTGTGTGGTTACACATAGAAAACACTAGCAACAGGTTGTTAAAAAGATGAATTAATTTACCAGTGGGATAGTTATTTATTAGATATAAACCCTCCAAAAACATGTGTGGTTAGACACTGAAAACACAAAGATAAATATCTATTTACCATAACAGCCAGTTGTTAAGAGAATTACAAAAACAACTGGGTGCTAAGCAAAAAAATTGGGGATCACAGTGTCTAAGTGGGTAAGATGCTGGCTCGCTAGCCTCGAGGTCGGGTGTTTGATCGCTGCATTGGCCGAGAAAGTTCATCCAGATGCAGGACGGAGGGCCTGACAAAGACAGCTGTCTAGTCGATTGGATGGGATGAAATACCAAGGTCCCGTGTACACATTGCCGTGCACGTAAAAGATACCTTGAAAGTTTAACAGTAGGACATTAAACTCCATTTCATTTCATTTCAGTTAAGCAAATTATTGAAATAAAAGTAAACCATATAACCATATGTTAGTCTCAAAATGACCTAGTGTGTGTCAAGTGAATGTTAAACCCCATTTCTCTCTCCCTTTCCTGTCCCTCTCACACTGTAAAAAAAGTTCAACAGACTGACTGACCCTACATGTAGGTTAGAGGTCAAGTAACTGTAAGCAGTAAACACAAGTATTTTTTTTTTATCTTGGCCTTGTATTCAGTGTATGGACATTGTCTACAGAGTTGTCATGGAGGTGTGGCTTGTTTGTAGGTTTACCTTGACATTTTGATTTTGTGTGGGCAAGGCTAGAAATAAAACCACCTTTCAGATAAAATTCCTTTCTAAAAATCCCTAAATAGAATTCAAGTGTCCCTTTTTTTGTCCATATGTGTTTAAAATAAAAATATCTAAAACTGAGTGAAAAATTTGTCCACTAGAAGGAAATAGGGTCTTTTTTCTGGTTTTCTAATTCCATGTGACAGTATAAATTCAACAAAATAACCTACAGGAAATGCGTACATTTTGAGTTATTCATCCCTTTTATGTTTGCAGGGCCAAAAATTTTTTTTATGTTTGTCAACCATGCACAATAATTTTTGTCGGCATTTGTGTTCTGGGAGCCACAGTGGCTAAGTGAGTAAGACGCTGGCTCGCTAGCCTAGATGCCGCGAGATCGATCCTAGTGTTGGCCAAGAAAGTTCATTGGGATTTTCCGGCTTGGTTTCTCCTGGTCAGTGGTGCAGGACAAGGACAGGTGTCTAGTCCTAGTGGAACCTGTGTCGCCTCTCTCTCTCTCTCTCTCTCTCTTTCTCTCTCTGTATGACTCAGACTGTTTAACATACTAGAGGGAACAGTAGTGCTAAAGGGTCAATTATTTTATTTTAATGATGTGTACATCAGCCTATACAGTATTCTTCATGTACATTGACAAATATTCTCCTCCCACTGCTATGCACTTGTTGCCTTTACATTGTACTAAAAGCCGAGATGTATACTGTTACATGTACCTTCACCATGTACTGAATGAATGAAATATGGTTATATGTTCATATTCTAGTAGAAAGCCCATCCATACATGTATGTACATAAAGAGAGAAATGGAGTTTAATGACCACTCAACACAAACAAGGTCATTTTGGGACTAACATAGATAGAATTTTATTCCAATAATTCTCTTTTGTGTGGAGGTTTTTGGCAGTGGGAGGAAACATAAGACCCGGAGAAAACACTCTAGGTTGGACAAGCGTCCCTGCTCGTCATGTGCAAACACTTCTATATAGAAAGCAAATGAAATGAAATGAAATGGGGTTTAACGTCCTACTGTTCTGCTCCAAACTGGGCTAATGAAGACAGGCATATGCCATACAGTGAGCTATGAGGGAAATTTTGCCTGTACAGCGGCACTACGACCTACTCTTATATCGAATTCCAACTGTCAAGGGATCTTTTACATGCACGCTAAAGTGTACAAAGGACCTCGTTTTTTGTCCCATCCGAATGACTAGACAGCTGTCCTGCATCACTGACAAGGGGGAATCACGCCGGAAAATCGGTATGAACTTTCTCGGCCAATGCAGGGATCGAACACCCGACCACCAGGCTATCGAGCCAGCATCTTACCCACTTAACCAATGTGACCCCCTATGTAGAAAGCCCACATGTATCTTTGCTTTGCACATTTTAGTAGAAAGCCAACATGTATGTATAAAGAGACTAGGTTTAATGTCCACTCGGCAGTAATATATTGTATAATTTTATTTCAATAATTCTATTGCGCTTATGCTACATGTACATGTAGGTTTCCACTATCATGATTCTAGCTGCGATTGAGATCGTGGAGTAATCGTGCTGATCCTATCATTTCTTATCATATATTGTGTCAGTTGTAGCAATCGTGTTTATCGTATCGAAACATATCCGAACGTATATGCACATATCTGATCGTGGACTCTATAGGGACAATCCTATCATAAGATATAGTTTATGACATCATTATTCAATCACCCTTAACTTAAAAGAATTTATTTAGAGTTGGCTGTGACCTATATATATTACTAATGATATCACACATGACTTGTATGGAGTTATTGTCAAACATAATGAAAGACTGCCCCACCCTGATTTATACTGGTAACCATCACTAATATATAAACATTGTGAAAACACTAGTAGGTGTTCTAGCAACCACACTTATACATCTCACATTAAACAATTCATTTATTTTCTTTATATTAAAGTACCGGTTGCAATATTGTAGGTGTTCTAGCAACCACACTAATACATATCACATTATATTTAAACAATTCATTTATTTTCTTTATATTAAAGTACCAGTAAGCGAATTATTGAAATAAAATTGAACCATAGGTTAGTCTCGAAATTACCTAGTTTGTGTCGAGTAGATATTAAACTCCATTTATCACTCACTCTTTACATTTACATTACCAAAAAAATCAAAACATTCCGTGCTCGGCACTGTTCTTCCTGGCACTCTTTAAATTTGTAATGTAAAGGGGGTGGGGGAGGATATTCCAAGTTCAAAACTTAATTTATGTACTCAGTAGCGGATTATCAGTGAGGCTGCAGCCTCAGGCCCAAAGATTTTGTAAAAAAAATTTTTTTAGACTTGTCTGATACGATTAAAAACGCATAGACAATGAATGTTGGGGGGTGGGGTTTAGGCCCAACGGGAATCAACATAGGCCCTGACCCGAAATTAATTAGGCCCGCACCATTATAAATAGGCCCTATTGTTTGGAGATCTGATCTTATTTTTTAAACGTAGGCCTACAATGTACGTTAAATCCTTGTAAGTTTTCGGTTATGTCTTGCTTAATATATTGTATCTATGTGACGTCATTTATGGGCATATAAAGTTACATTACGTTTTTAATGTTAGCAACTACCTTGGCTCTAACTTTAAAAACTAAATAGGCCCTCCAGCAACTGCCGCCTCAGGCCTTGGTGGAGCTTAATCCGCCACTGTATGTACTCCTAATATAAGTTAGCCATATTTGAGTTCTTTTTGCTCTGATTGATGCTATGATATATTTCACATATTTAGCAAAGAATTATTGATAATATTTATGGAAAACTGTAATATTCGAAACATCTGGGGCGCCCTGTTTCTCAAAATCTTAACTAAAGATAAAATCCAAATTTGAGTAGATGCTTCAATTTTCATTGCCTAAGCACTAAAATCAATCTAATATTATCCAATCAAATTACTAAAATTTGGATTTTATCTTAGTTAAAATTTCGTGTAACGGGCCCCTGAAGTTAAACATTTGTGGACTATTATCTTGTCATTTGTACAAACATTAGCTACTTTATAATTTCTACTGAATTTATATAATAAAATATTTGTCATTTTATAATTTATTTTTTAATTTTATATATTTTAGTTTTATCCTGTATCCAGAGTTAACAGATGATCTGTTATACCATATAAATTATTTTACATATTGTATGGTAGCCGTATCAACAGGTAAATATGCTCTAGTTATATTATTATCATGAAATGAAATGAAATGAAATGGGGTTTAACATCCTACTGTTCAGCTCCGAACTGGGCTAATGAAGACAGACATACGCCATACAGTGTGCTATGAGAGAAATTTTGCCCCGGACAGCGGCACTACGGCTAACTCTTATATCGAATTCCAACTGTCAAGGGATCTTTTATGTGCATGCCAATGTGTACACGGTACCTCAATATTTTCGTACCATCCGAACAACTAGACAGCTGTCCTTGTCAGGCCCCCCGTCCTGCATCACTGAAAAGGGGGAAACCATGACTGAAAATCTGGATGAACTTTCTCAGCAAATGCAGGGATCAAAAGGCTAGTGAGCCAGCGTCTTACCCACTTAGCCACTGTGATCCCCCGATTTCACTTCTTCATAATAAATTCTGTTGTAGGCCTTGGTATCAATATGACTGTAAAATGATATATTTTATTAAATGTATTTTCTATAATTACAGGGTATTTTATGTATGATTTTTTGGATATGTTGATGAATAATAAATTATTAAAACTATGGGAGGTAACTCTACATCATCTTGCTGTAAGTATTTTTATACGTCCACATTCATAATGTGGACCTATATTGCCGTCACCCCTGTCTGTGTGTGTGTGTGTGTGTCTGTGTCTGTGTGTCGCCTACAGGCCACAATTCTTACGTGATCATCTTCAAACTTTACATACTTATTCCTTATACCCTAAGGATGATCCCTATTGTTTTTGGTGCATGCCCGACCCCCAGGGGCAGAGCCACGCCCATTTGTTGTATTTCTTTGTTTTTTATCTACAGGCCGCATTTCTTAACGTATCATAATGAAACTTTGCATACTTATTCTTTGTACCATAAGGAACATCCCTATCGTTTGGGTTGCATGCCTTACCCCCAGGGACAGAGCCACACCCATTTGATCTTTGTGTCTCTGTGAGTTGCCTACAGGCCACAATTCCTAATCGTCTTTGAACTTGGGATATGTATTCCTTATAGCCTAAGGACGACAACTGCTTGTCCCGCCCCCCAGGGGCATAGCCACGCCCAATTTTTGTGTTTATCGTTTACAGGCCGGAGTTCTGAATGGATCAACTTTGTACTTGGCATATGTATTCCTTATAGCCTAAGGGTGTCAACTATTGATTTTGGTGAATGCCCCGACCCCCAGGGCCAGATCCACGCCCAATTTTTGCCTTTAGAGTCCGAAGGCCACAATTCTGAATGGATTAACTTGGAACTTGGAATACTTATTTCTTATACTCTAAGGACGGCACCTATTTATATTGTTCCATATCCAACCGCCAGGGGCAGAGCCACGCCCATTTTTTGTATTTATCGTCTACAGGCTGCAATTCTGAATGGATCATCTTGGAACTTTGCATATTTATTCCTTATACCGTAAAGACATCAACTATTTATATTATGGTGCTTGCCCCGACCTCCTGGGACAGTGTCACACCCACTTTTTGGTTAGTATTTTGTCTGTAAATTTGGCAAAACAAACCCAACGCCTAGCCGTCTTTGCCTTTTATCTCTGTAAGAGAAGGGCTCTTGAGTTTATCTATGTATTGATACACTGAAACCCGTGTATTATTTACTCTTGTGTATTTAGCCTTAATTTCTTTCACATTCCTTTAGTTTAAAGATTCGTAAAACTCATTTAAAATCACCAAAATTCATCTAATTTGTACTTGTGTCCAGTTTGAAGCTGTCCATTCAATTTTGATAATGAGTGTCCAATTTACATGCATTTAATTTCTTGATTACTGTTAAGAAATAAACAACCAAATAGATTATTAATGTAAAATGATTAATTTTTGGGCGGTGGTTAGGAAATTTAATACTTGTAAATTGGAGACTCATTATCAAAACTGGACACTAGTAAAAATTAGATGATTTTAAGTGATTTTAAATGATTTTTACAAATTTTTAAACAAAGATTTGATTGAATGAATGTGAAAGAAATTAATGCTAGATACACAAGATTAAATGATATCCGGGTTACAGTGATATCAACCAACTTTTGTATCTTAATCTTACATAATGCTTTTTTTAAAGATGCATTATTCAAGAGCTAAATCTGTCTATTGGCCACAAATGTTATATAAATTATTAATTAGATATTCATTTACGTGAGAAGCCCATAATCAACTCTCTAGAACACCGGATGGTTATTATATTCAACAGATTTGAATAATTGAGACTTTGTTTATTATTGTAAAAACAATAGCAAAGGCATTCGAGACTAAACTTTTCTTCCACAGCAATAACTCTGATCAGAATGAAGTAATTTGACTGAAGTTTTGAACATATTCTCTTTTCATTATCTATTTTTAAATTATTATAGTAAGAACTGTCAGCTCTTTATCTAAATTTTACATAATGCATCTTTATGTATTTGTTGGGGTATCTTAAATGTTTGGGGCCACAAATGTTAAATAGGGGCTAACTGGTTAGGGTTAAAAACAGGGTTCTTAACGAACTGGCTAAAAAAGGTCCTGTAGGAAATAGAGAAATTATAAGCTCCCATTCCCTTTAATATAACTATAGACTTAAACAAAAATAATTCTTGGTAATTTTTTATGTTGAATGTTGTATTCTGAATAGGCTAATATATGTGATTACCACAAAAAAAACCACAACGATTCCTCGCTTGTACGGGTCAAGGAGTAGTGTCGCATTTCCAATCTTGTGGGTTTTCTCCGGGTCCTTGGGTTTCCTCCCACATCTAAGGCCCCTTTGCACAAGTGAGTTATTAAAATAATATTGAACCGTATGTTAACCCCAAAATGACCTAGTTTGTGTGTGTGTGTGTGTCTCTCTCTCTCAATCACATTAGACCTCTCTTGGGAGACTGGATAACCTTATATAGGCACGACAGGAGGGATTAGGTTGTTTTGTGTCACATCGTTGGGGGATGACCGAATAGTTAGCCTGTCCAACCTCATGGGTTTTCTCGATGTCCTCCCACTGCTAAAGACCCCTGTGCGCAGGCGACTTATTGAAATAAAATGGAACCATATGTTAGACCTGAAATGACCTAGTTTGTGTCGAGTGGACTTAATCCCCGTCTCTCCTGTACATGTAGTTGAGCAGGTTATATGTTGACCTACCTGTGACTCCTACTATACACAGGTTGGTTGGTGGGTGTGTAGTGTAATTGATGAAGTCATGCTGTTGTTATTTGTCATATTTGATATATTATCCATGTGTAGGAGGAAGATCTTACTACAGGTCAATAACAGGTTAATTTCAATAAGGATGTGGCAACATGTAAAGCTGGTTGTATAAATAATATAGTCTAAAAACATTATTGAAAGGAGAGATGAGGAAGTGATGAGATTGAGAGAGAGATAGACAGAGAGAGAGAGAGAGAGAGATGTGAGAGATGAAGAAATGATGTGAGAGAGATGAAGAAATGATGAGAGAGAGAGAGAGAGAGAGAGAGAGAGAGAGAGAGAGGAATAAAGTGGGAGAGGTTTATGTTTATTTCTGTTATAAAAATGGCCTTGTTCCCAAACTCAATATAGATCAAACAAATTTGTGAGAGAGGTCAGAGGTCAAGAGTCACTTTGAAGTATTTTCTTCAAAGGTCTCTATACATAAAGGGCAACAAAATAGACATTTAAAACTCCATCAAGATCTTACTTTGATGGGGGGATCACGGTGGTTAAGTGGGTAAGACGCTGGCTCGTTAGCCTGGAGGTCGGGTGTTCAATCCCTGCATTGGCCGTGAAAGTTCATCCAGATTTTCTGGCATGAATCCCCCTTGTCAGTGATGCAGGACGGAGGGCCTGACAAGGACAGATGTCTAGTCCTTCGGATGAGATAAAAAACTGAGATCATGTGTACACATTGGCATGCACGTAAAAGATCCCTTGACAGTTGGAATTCGATGTATGGTGTATGCCTGTCTCCATTAGCCCAGTTCGGAGCAAAACAGTAGAACGTTAAACCCCATTTCATTTCATATCATTTCTTACTTTGATGAGAACTAACAGGGACCGTACAATATAAATACATTCATATTTTCATAAAATTTCCTCATTTCCCATAAAATAAGCCGTAAATTTTTTTCTTGTTTTGAATAAGAAAATCAGCCAGGCATTTTATGACCCCCAGCTTGCTGCTCTCTTTCATTTTCTGTTTGACAGTGTTCAGTTAATGTTATGATGGTATTTGTATATGAAATGGAATTAAATGAACGTTGGGTTTAATGCACTAATGTTTTCTGCTCCGACTGAGCTAATGAAGATGGGCATAGGGCATACGCCATACACTGTGCTAAGGCCTACTCTTATATAGAATTCCAACTGCCAAAGGACCTTTTACGTGTACGCCAATGTGTACATGGGACCTTGGTTTTTCGTCTCATCCGAATGACTAGACAGATGTCCTTGTCAGGCCCTGCGTCCTGCACCACTGACAAGGGGAACCACGCCAGAAGACCAAGATGAACTTTCGCTGCCAACACCGGGATCGAACCTGCATCCTCCAGGCTAGCGAGGCACTATGGCTACCCGTGAGTATATGAAAATAGGAGAAGATGACTGCGACCATTAATACCACCAGTGCTACTGGTGAGATGTTCTTATCCACATAACACTGGCTGAACACTACTGTACTTCATGGATTGGAGATAAATTATTTACTGTCAGTCTAGTTATATATAAAAAAAAGTCATAAAAGTCATAATATTTGATAAAGATAAAAACATAAAACGTCATGAAATGTGATAAAAGCATAATAAAAATGTCATAAAAGTTGATAAAAAATATCATAATATTTGATTAAAACATCATAAAAATATCATAAAATTTGATAAAAACATCATAAAAATCATTAAAATCCATGAGAAACTTTCATAAAAAATATAAATTTATGACAAAAATCTGTGTATGGTCCCAGGATTTACTAAAACGAAACATTGAAATTTACCAGCTGGCAGTATCTTATATAGTATTTATTTCTGCGAATGAAATTGAACTATGAAAAAATGAAATAGGATCTGTGTTTAATCAGATTATCACATGACTATATAGTGAGTAATCTACTGGATACTAACATTATATTTTGTTTATGAGAGAGAGAGAGAGAGAGAGAGAGAGAGAGAGAGAGAGAGTTTAATGTCCATAGGTCATTTCGGGACTAACATATGGTTTAATTTTATTTCAATAATTTGCTTGCGCATAGGGGTCTTTAGCAGTGGGAGGAAACCGGAGGACCCGGAGAAAACCCACGAGGTTGGACAGGCGACCCTACTCCTTGTCACGTACAACCGGGGATTCGAAACCACGCCAGTCGACTCAATGACAGACTTTATGATACAGCGCGCGCAGGCTAACCATTCAGCCATCTAACCCTCCATTGTTTATAAGGCATTTAGTGATAGGACTAACATTGAAAAAACACAACACAACTTTATGTTGTGCAACTATTAAAGTTGCTAGTGATTGTTATCCATAAAGTTGTGTTGTGTTTTTTCACTAACATTATATATAGCTTTACTTTAATTGAGGTCTGCATTGCTCGTGGGGGGAGGGATGGCCGAATGGTTAGCATGTGCGCACTGTATCATAAGGTCTGTCATTGAGTCAACTGGCATTGGTTTCAATTCCCCGGGAGTAGGGTCGCCTGTCCAACCTCAGGGGTTTTTCTCAGAGTTCTCCAGTTTCCTCCCACTGCCAAAGACCCCTATGCGCAAGCGAAGTATTGAAATAAAATTAACCATATGTTATTCCCAAAATGACCTAGTTTGTGTCGAGGGGGCGTTAAACCCCATTTTTCTCTCTCTCTCCGCGTTGCTCGAGTGGTGAGGCATTGACCTCTAGTCTAGAATGTGTCCCTGTTTTTGAATCCTCACATAGGCCTTAATTTAATTAAGGGGTCTCGATGATCAGGCAGTAAGGCACTGACCTTTAATCTAGAATGTGTCTAGTTTCGGATCCTCACATGGGTCGAGAAAAACCTGCAGGATTTTACAATCACGGTATCACATGGGTAGTGCTTGCAAAGGCTGACAAGAAGGTGTACGTGGTCGTTAGGATGTGACCCCAAAAAATGTGGCATGTACATTAAAAAAAACCCTCCAAAACACCTTATTAAATGGCCAAATTGTTGTAATCTATTTAAAATCGTAGCCATCTGATGATCTAGAGAGTTGATTATGATCTTGTCATGTCAATAAATGTCTAATTAATAATTTAAAGGAGCTAAGTTGCTAATATTTGGGATCTAGAAATTGACACAAATGGGTCGCAACATATATAATAATGTAATATGAATGTATATAAACTGATTTACATTCAATCATTTCTGTTTTCACTGTAATTTCTAATAAGTTATAATCGGCGAAATATGCCAGAAGTCTTAATCGAATGGTAATCTCTAGCATCTTGTTGTTCCAGTCTACACCGATAGTATTTTATGCGCATGCTCTCCAGACAAGAATATGTCGTCATCGTTTGACATGACTTGTGGAATATATCTAGCCTCGTTCTTCGAGTCCTTTGTTACACATGACGCTGAAACGCATTATGGTACATGATTCGTGTACCAATGGTAAAATGTTTATTTTGTCTTAAATATTGGATATCAGAAGCCCATCTTTTCCCGGTAAGATCACAACATCAATGTTGATTTAAATTGACAAATAATTTGTGTTTTCAATGTCGAAGACTCTGGATGATATTGAGTTACAGACTTTAAGGCCTAAAGAAAGATCTGTAGATTCTGCTCTTGAATAATGCCTGTTTAATTATATATAATCACATTTGTATTCTCGTTTCAGGTAACAAGTATTTTTTATTTTAATATTTACAAACAAGCCTATATTGCCTTCAACTGTGTCGCTCTATTAGCCGAAGTGAACTCTTTCTTCCTTCATTCAAGAAAACTCTTACAGATGTTACAATACCAATTTCAAGATTCCTTTTATAAAATTGTTTGTGTGATGAACTTGCTGACATTTTTCGTGTTCCGCGGAATTTCTCTTGTTTCCATTAGTCTCTCGATGATGTTTTGGCGAGACAGGGTGACGAAGGTTTATTATTATTCCCTATTTTCCTCCATGTTTTTTATGAACGTCATGAACCCCATTTTGTTCTGGCGTCTGCTGAAAAACGACTTTTTACGACCTTCGAAATCCAAGTCCGAATCAAAGTTGGCGTACGGAGAAAAAGAGACAGTTGTGATGAACGGAAATAATAACGTAGAACATGTTAATGATAAACATTTAAAATCAAATTAATATCTTGTTAAAATTGTTTTTAAATTTTCGTACTGCTGAGTGAAATGATGGATAACTGTAAGAGTTATGGCCCCTTTATGTTAATATTTGTTGTATTAAGGATTGTTATGAGTTGATTACCCCAAATAATATTGATTGAATGATGAATGTTCCAGAATTGAATTACAGCAATCCCACTGTGGATGAGAATCAAGAAATCACAAGAATTTCAGACGACAATATCGTAACCAATCATTGACGCAGAAAAAAGTTCTCCATATTTGATTAATCCAGCATACCACATTACCACTTCTGTTCTGTGTCACTCATTTGGAATTTCATCAATTTGGAATGTTCTGAACTTGCAATTGAACTCAGCGTTCAAATGGGAAATTTAAAAGGATATAACTCTTGTTAGAATATAATTTTATTTATCTCTGGCATCTCCAGTATATATAATTGAGGGCCCATTATCCAGTTGTATTTGTTAATATGGAGGTATCGGTCATCTCCAGTTTAATTGAGGCCCTATTATCCAGCATGAGCTTTCTACTTGTTTTGGAAGGTTGAAAGGGGCATAACTCCTGTTGAAATATAATTTGTATTTGTTAAGATGAAGGAGTCGGTCATCTCCAGACTCCAGTGTATATATATGTGGATCTATTATGCTGCCAAGCATCCTCCCCATTGAAAAGGGGCATAACTCTTGTTAAAATATAATTTGTATTTGTTAAGATGAAGATGTCGATCATCTCTATGTGGATCTATTATTCTGCCAAGCATCCTCCCTATTTGAAAGGCGCATAGCTCTTTGTTAAAGTATAATTTGTAAGGGGCATAACTCTTGTTTAAATAAAGTTTGTGCTTGTTAATCTGAGGACCTAATGTGATGTTTAGTACTAAACAGAGTTGTTTAATTTATTGTGCTGTTCGTAAAGCGCACGGTTGTTTTTAAAATAATTATTGTCTATAGTTCTCACCATCATTTCCAAATTTTCCAAAATATCTTTGCACAATCATAACTTCATTTTTTTATCATGATCAGTTGACATTTTGTTTTAATGTTTTAATTCAAGCAACAATATAACCACATTGTTTTTTTTTTCATATACATTAAATATACCAATGGTAATTTCGCTTTAATTTGTAGGGGTTGGGTGGCCAATTGGTTAACTCATGCATGCTGCATCACAAGGTCTGTCATTGAATCAAGTAGTGTAGTTTCGCTTCCCCGCTTGTCCAACCTTGTGCGTTTTCTCTGGGTCCTTCAGTTTACTCTCACTGCTAAAGACCCCTACGCGCAAGCAAATTATTAAAATAAAATTAAACCATTTGTTAGTCCCAAAATGACCTAGTTTATTTTTATGTGGACTGAACCTGACCTCTCTCTCTCTCTCTCTCTCTCTCTCTCTCACACATCACTGGCTCTAGTCAGGAAAACTTGAAACTAAAGTATTTTAAGAATACTGATGGCTCATTGGCTAAACACTTGAATCATTGCACAAATTGTTGCTCTTGGCCAATGAAAACGCTGCATTCTTAAATAATATCCAATTGCTTAAAACATCAAAGCCTGCCCATGATAAAAAAAATCTTATTTAACAGAAAAGATTTACATGTAGCTTATCTAGATTCATGTCGCACTTTAAAGCAGTTAAAAGAGAGAGTTATACTATTAGCTTTGCTCTTCCAGTAGATCAGTTATCCTATTAGCCTTGCTTATCAAGTACAATTTAGCTGAACATACATTATATTCTATTACGTATATAGATGTCAATTTCTTGTATTATTAAATAGCTTGCCGAAGTTTACAAACTTAGATTTGTCAGATATCGCCATGACTTATTTTTACTTTACATTTTTATTCTGGGGATTTTTTTTTTCCTCCCCATTTTTGTATGGTGCCAACAGTTATAAAATTTTAAATGTTATTTTAAAGATAGAATTGAATTAACTATAAAAGAGGAATAATTTTGTAATGTAGGCTTTGTTAGAAAATTTATCTAGACTAAATTTTACTTTGACTATAAATTTATATTTTGGAGTGTTTTTCCTCCCTTATCCTACACCAACAATATGATTACATCAATTTTAGCTTGTAATTTAAAGATTTAATTAGAAAATATAAAAAATAAGTTATTTTTGAAGATTACAATGTTGAAAGTGAGATATTGTTTAAACTGACTATATTTGCTCTGTTCTGATTTTTAATGTTACAGATAGGGCCTAGGCCTGTATAAGTTTATCCTACACAAACAATATGATGTCATCCATTTTAAATTTTTATTTAAAGATTTAATTAGAAAGTATGAAAAAAGAATTATTTTTGAAGATTACAATGTTGAAAGTTAGATATTATTGTTTTTAAGGTTCTATATTTGCTATGTTCAGATTTTGAATGTTACAGATAGGCTTGTATAAGCTTATATATTTTTTATGAAAAAATAAAAGTGCAAATATAGGGTTTTTTAGAGAATATTTTCTCTGTTCAGATTTTTTAACACTGGGACAGGTACATATATATTTTATGAAAAAGTAAATATTTTTGAAACAGTCTATATTTGTATCTGACTGAACAAAAAATATTTTATATATTATTTAATGAATATCTTTGAAATGTATATGAGAGTTGTCTTTCCTTAATAATTATTGCAATGTTTTATTATAAATAATCCTTCCCACACCTCAAATTAAGTTTTATAATTATGAAATGTATCGAATGGGCACCAAAAATTGGATCATTCTTTACTTCGGTGCAACTTTCATAATGTTTGTACTGCAATAATAATATTTTGCACATTATATCGGAGCATTGGTGGCTCAGTTTGTTAGACACTGATTGGCTAACGTGGTGGCCGAGAAAGTTCCATGGGATTTACCAGCTTGGAGCCACAACTGAGGGCCTAGCAAGGAACATTACAGCATCAAGTTGTTTGGATGGTATGAAAAAAAAACCCTTGACAGTTTAAGAAATAAGAATAGGCCGTAGCACCACTGTCCAGGCAAAATTTCTCTGAAAGTACACTGCATGGTTTATGCCTATCCTTATTAGCCCAGTTGCAGCAGAAAAGTAGGATGTTAAACCCCATTTCATTTCATTTCGCATTTTATATCATATGAATTAAACCGGTATGTTTGGAACAGTAAAAAGTTCAAGTTGAAGCCAAATAAACAGTGTGCCAGCACAGGTAGTTTGGGGGAGTTTCCCACCGATATACATATGGTTACAGACCAATGTAAAATCAAAGTTCGACTAATTTTTTGGGCGGACCACTATATAAATCATTTACCGTATCTATTTGCTAAATCATTGAATACCAAATAGAACATTTCCATCCAATTTTATAATTTCAACCCCTCCAGTTATTTATTGATTTTTTTATTTTAATCCATGTTTCTTGTCACTGTGCTATGATTTTTATACTTGTCTTTTATCTAATTCGAAATTGTTACTTTTAATGTGAACTTGCTACTTTTAATCTGAAATTTGCTTTTTTTAATCTGAAATTTGCTTTTTTTAATCTGAAATTTGTTAATTTTAATCTGAAATCTGCAGCTTTTAATCTGAAATTTGCTACTTTTAATCTGAAATTTGCTTCTTTTAATCTGAAATTTGCTTCTTTTAATATGAAATTTGCTACTTTAAATCTGAAATTCGTCATGATTCCATCTTGTTACTGTTAATCCATTAAGTGCGTAGGTCATTATATAACGTCCTGGGCAACTGCCATTCACTGTGTGTAGGGTGTAATATAACGCCTTGGAGGTATTTTCCCCAACCTATTCTTAGAACATAGTTCATCACTTGGGGGAATCACTTGGGAATTCCCCCATGATCGCAGGATGTGTAGGACGTTACATTACATCCTGGACAACTGCCATTCACTGTGTGTAGGGCGTAATATAACGCCTTGGAGGTATTTTCCCCAACCTATTCTTAGAACATAGTACATAGTTCTTTGTCACTTCGTCAAATTAATTACACAATAGGGGGTAGTTAACGTTTTAAAAATGTCATGTTTAACGGGTTAATCAGAATTTGCTATGATTATTGACAAATTGGTACAGACATGTGAATTCACATACCATAAATAAAAACATGAACTATGAATTTAATTTGCAAAGTGTCCATGTGTTATGCACATTTTGAAGTGGAAGCCCTTTTATGACCCCATCTAGTTATTTCTTTTATCAGACTTTGCTATGATTTATTCCAGTAACATGGTAGTTGAGTCTTGAAATTGTCTCCACTTTGACTACAACTGGGGTGGGGTGGGGCTTGGGTGCTCTAGTGGTTTAACGTGTGTCTGTCATTGAGTCAACTGGCGTGGTTTTGATTCCCCGGTTGTACGTGACAAGGAGTAGAGTTGCCTGTCCAACCTCGTGGGTTTTCTCCGGGTCCTCCGGTTTCCTCACACTGCTAAAGACCCCTACGCGCAAGCGAATTATTGAAATAAAATTGAACCATGACCAATTTTGTGTATAGTAGATTTTCAGATGTGGTTCCCCATTGTCAGTTCCCCGTTTTATTTCATTTGCGTTGAAAGAATAAATAGTTAATGTTGATTGTTACAGTTTCATTTTTTTTAAAAAAGCAACAGAATTCTTGCTATTCAGGGTGGTAGAATTTAAACTTCTAGATATATTTTATGAACCTCTGTTATATACAGTTATTTTTATTTTTCACCAAGACTTTTATAGTTTTACTGAAAATTAATTTTTTAAAAGTAGATCATTGTAATTTTTTTTAGTTTTAATTTTTCTAGTTTTATTTTATTTAGAATTGAGATGCAAATGATAAAAACAGAGACTATTTAATTGTATCTGTAAATAAATAAATATATGCTTGCAACACATTTGATTTCACTGTATAATTAAAGCCCAATTGGGTTTCACTTTAACCGAAAATGTTAAGTTTGAAGTTGCCGATACTGATTGTGCATTATTCAGAAAATAAAAACTGTTTTACAGCTAAAATTTACTGAAATTGATTGTTTAAATTTCAATTAAGAAAACAAAATCAAAATAATCTCCTGGCTTGAATTCAATCAATCCAAAAAAAAAAAGAGGCCCATCAAAAGAATTTAGATATTTTTCTATTCATCATCTCATTGTAAATACTGAATGCAGCAGAACTATTTTTATAGTATTCTGGTTTGCAAGGGATTAAAAATCCCTTTAACAGCAACTTTGTCTGCAAAATCCAATAGATTCATATAAGATTGCTTATTGTCAATCAAAAACACAAAATACCACATTATTTTTTATTATCAAATCAAATGTTTGATTGTAATACAATTTGTATTGTAATTCAGTCTGTATTGTTTGGTTGTATTGTAATGCAGTCTGTTTTTTAATATAGTCTGTGTTGTTATTCGGCCTGTATTGTAATTCAGACTGTATTGTAATTCAGACTGTATTGTTTGGTTGTAATACAGTCAGTATTGTAATACACAAGCCTGGAAATAAGGCACCTGTCACAGACAATGTCAGGCACGGATTCAGGCTTTTTCAGGCACTAAACCTCTGGTGCCTGTCATTTTGTCCGGCACTGATTTATCTTTTTTATTGATATTATTAATACATGTCCGGCACTAAGTTGAAAATGTCAGGTACTTTTTCATTAGTGCCTGACATTTTGTCAGGTACATGTAAAACCGTTTTTCCAGGCCTGGTAATACAGTCTGCATTGTTTGTAATCCAGTCTGAATTGTTTGTAATACAGTCTGTACTGTTTGTAATACAGTCTGAATTGTTTGTAGTACAGTCTGCATTGTTTGTAGTACAGTCTGCACTGTTTGTAATACAATCTGAATTGTTTGTAATACAGTCTGTACTGTTTGTTATATAGTCTGCATTGTTTGTAATACAATGTGCATGGTTTGTAATACAGTCTGCATTGTTTGTAATACAGTCAGTATTGTTTGTTTGTAATTGTGAATAATATAACCAGGGTAGTTCTTGTTTTTGATAAATTTATATAGTTATAATTATTGACAACCATTTCAAAATAATCGAAATCCAGACTTCTGTCTATTCGTCTGCTGGTCATAGAATAATTTTCAAATTTCTGATTTGATTTTGAAGTTACATTAGCAATGTTTGAAATTTGACCGCAAGCTAAATTTCCAAAAAATCTGTGAATCTCTTTTGAGATATACACGTACCGGTATTAAGTTTCAAGTTATGGGCTGTGCAAACTTTTTAGTGGTTTTTAAGATGTTTGATAAACATCTGTCAAAATTACCCAGCTTTATGTCAGTTCAAGTTTAGTTTCAATATGATTTTATTGAAAATTAGGTGGGTTGGATGGCCGAATGGTTAAGCGGGCTTGCGCTGTATCATAAGGTCTGTCATTGAGTCAACTGGCATGGTTTCAATTCCCCGGTTGTACGTGACAAGGAGTAGGGTCGCCTGTCCAACCTCGTGGGTTTTCTCCGGTTTTCTCCCACTGCTAAAGAAAGACCCCTACGCACAAGCGAATTATTGAAATAAAATTGAACCATGTTAGTCCCGAAATGAAATGACGTAGTTTGTGTCGAGTGGACATTAAACCCCATTTCTCTCTCTCTATTGAGCACTTTGATGTGACCCAGGGAGCAGTAATTTCAGTTAGTTTAAGACTGTACAGGTGCTAACGGGTTACCTAGAAACTGGGCTGGCCAGTTTCTATTATATATATTTTTATCTCTTTATCTCTAGTCAGTAAATAGATAGTATTAGTGATATCTACAGCTTTATTATATTTTATAGATGTTATAGTGGGTGGAGCCAGGACTCAGACCAATTGGGAAATTACTTTCTTGGCTTTGAAGCACACACAGGTATGCAAAGACAATTCTTTGCTCGCGGCTTCGCTTAGTGGAGTATAAATCAACCTTTATAGATACCAAAGTTACCCTGTCTGTCTACAAGTAATTCTGCTTGGGAACGGACACGAAGCTAATTGACCTAACATTTTAATTTCTAAATCAACAATTTTAGTTGAAAACACTAAGCATACTTCAAGGATTTATAGAAGTATTTATTCTGCTTCCATTTAATAAAATCGAAATTGTATATTTTATTTACTCTTTGTGTTTATAAAGGATGTAAAACGGATTAGAACGACATTACAAAATAGTTTACTGGCAGAGATCTTTTCTCAGATAGCTATTCTGTGTGCATAATGCCTGCTATAGAGATGGAGCCAGGATTCAGACCACTTTGGAAAAATTGTTGAGAAACTAATTTTCTTATGAAAAGCTAATGAATAGCAATGAAGCAATTATGTCCTACAATATATCAAATTAGATCTTTGTATTTATAGCTCCCCTATCCATTGTATTTGGGGGTTGGTGGTCGAGTCAAAAGGTCTGCCATAGAGCATGGACCTCATGCATAGAGCAAGTTAATTACTGAAATTATTTATAAATAATCTAACATCCTTCTACCATTATCAGCATTACTAATTAACTTGTCTAATATAACACAAGCTATGATTTTATGGATACACAATTACTCAGTATATTAGTATTTCAACAAGAACACTTGTATTTATCACGGAAATGCTATTAATTTCTGTAACCGCCAAAATATTAACCATTACCACAGTAGTACACACTGATAGAACAGTTGGAAGGTCAATTTCATTTGTTGAAATTACACATGATTTAAAAGATTTTGCTACTTTTTTTAGCGATTTAAAAGATTTTGCTACTTTTTTTTAGCGAGATCGAACACAATGTTACTGTTTTAGCCTTCTACTAGTCCTTACTGGATGAAATGCAGTTGTCTCCCCTTGTAGCAATGATCTGTTAAAAGTAGTTAAATTTGCCTGTGATATAAGTAGGCCTTGCTATCTGTGTATTATATTATATTTTTTTTTATGTTTTGCACTTTGCAGTAAACTTATCATTTTTATGTTTTTCTCTTTGCAATAAATTTATATTTTATGTTTTGCGCTTTGCAGTAAATTTTTAGGGCATTATATAGGCATTTAACATCCAAAAAAATCTGTGACCTCTGTAGGGTCCTTTAATGTGTATTAAAACACAATTTGATAATTTTGTGCCACTCTCTCTCCCTCCTGCTGTAATTTACTCGTCTTTAAGCCCAGGGATATAATATAAATACATATAAACTGTGCAGTTTTATATTATCTCCCTTGAAACACTTGGCTGCCGTTTAGCTTTCTTTTTTTCTTTGCTCAAATATATATATATAGCTCGCCTCCTGTTTTGCTATTGATCTGTTGCCATGGAAATAAAAGCTGTATTTTTATATATGATTTAATTGTATAATTTGTATTAATAAATAGACAGAAATAAGATATGGCTTTTATATGTTGTTATTGACTAAAATTTGATAGCTTATATGTCACATTGTAAAATGTTGTCAGAATCAAAAAAATCCAACAAACAACTGTGTCAGTATTTAACCTTATTTTACTTGGCCCCTAGCGCACTTCATACTTTGTCCCTACTACATTTGATACCAACATATGATCTGGCCCCTACTACAGTAGAAACTAGCATTTGATGAGGTGATACTTTATCCCTACTACACTTTAGACTAGCATTTGATGGTGTGATACCGGCTCCTACTAAACTTGATACCAGCATTTGATGGTGTGATACTAGGCCCAAACTAAACTTGATACCAGTATTTGATTGTGTGATACCTGGCCCCAACTACACATGATACCAACATTTGATTTGCTGATTCTTTGTCGGTACTACACTCGATAGTCGATACCATCATTGTGATATCAGGTCCCAAAAACCAGAGGCGTAGCCGTGAAATATATATTGAGGGGGGTCCGCAACCCTAACCCTTAACCTATTTTTTAAAACCCCTAAAAAATATAAACAAACATCATGTGGTCATGCTGTCTACCAAGACACCGCGTGCAAAAGCATTATGGTTACGTTTCTGGCTGAGCGGGCGATAAATAGTTGGTTTAGGCGGTTATGTTTTTGGGTACATACATGTGATTCTCTCTAATAAATGGCAGAAAAACATTAACAAAATATTACTGACAGGCTAACTAGACACAATTTTATGGAACACAGGTACTTTTCACTTCACACATGTTTCCAGGATGATTATCTCTGTGTTTTATTTTAGCAGTATAAACCATATTGGGATATGTACAGGTTTTATACAGATAGAATCTTAACTAATCCTAATAATTGTTGTAAATAAATAGGAGTTGGGGCCTACTATGTAAATTTTTTTGGGGGGTCCAACTCAAGTATATTCAGACCCCCCATTTGGGGGGGTCGGACCCACCCATGTGTGACGCCCAAGCCAACAACACTTGATACCAGTCTTGGGGTTGGATGGCCGAATGGTTAACATGTTCACATTGTCATAAGGTCTGTCATTGAGTCAACTGGCAGAATTTCGATTCCCTGGTTGTACGTGACAAGGAGTAGGGTCGCCTGTCCAACCTCGTGGGTTTTCTCCATGTTCTCCGGTTTCCTCCCACTGCTAAAGACCCCTATGCGCAAGCAATATTGAAAAAAATTGAACTATATGTTAGTCCCAAAATGACCTAGTTTGTGTCGAGTGGAAGTTAAACCCCATTTCTCTCTCTCCAATACCTGGATTACATGGGGTGACAGCTGGTCCCTACTACACTTGATACCAGTATTTGATCTAGTGATACTTGGCTCCTACTACACTTGATACCAACATCTGATCTGGACCCTACCAACTTTCTACTAGCATTTAATCTGGCGATGCCTGGTCCTTACTAAACTTGATATCAGTATTTGTTGGGGTGATATCTGGCCCCTACTACACTTGATACTAGGATTTGATAGGATGATACCAGATCCCTACTATACATGATACCACCAATTGATCTGGTGATACTTGGCCCCTACTAACTTGATACTAAGATTTGATTTAGTAATACCTGGCCCCTACTTTGTCCTCACTACAATTGATACCAGCATTTGATGGGGTGATACCTGGCCCCTAATACACTTGATACTAGCATTTATTAAGGATGATACCTGACCCTTACTACACTTCATACCAACATTTGATGGCATTGTACCAGATTCCTATTATACTTGATAACACCAACTGATCTGGTGATACCTGGCCCCACTACACTTGACATTAGGATTTGACCTAGTGATACAATATGATGGTGTGATACCTGGCCCCTACTACTCTTATTACTAGCATTTGTTAAGGATGATACCTGACCCCTACTACACTTGATACCAGTATTTGATGATGTGATATCTGACCCTACACTTGATACCAACATTTGATCGTGTGATACCTCCCCAGTGTGAATCATCGATAATAACTAAAGACTGGAACTAGCCCTGAAACTATTTATTTCCAGAAAACATTAAACACCATACGGAGAACCAGGCCCGTAACCAGAGGGGGGCAAGGGGGGGGGGGCAATGCCCCCCGAGAAAATGTTTTGCCCCCCCCTCCCCGAAAAAAAATTGCTGACCATAGCTCTAAAATATCTACTGTAGACTGTGCCAGGTGTGCCCCCCCCCCCTAAAAACTTCACTGCCCCTCCGAAGATAGCGAGCTGGCAACCGGCCTGCGGAGAACAGCACATCCGACAAGAAGGGTAACTGACTTGTAGACGGAATGAAACCTAGAATGCTTTGTCAATGTACATATCCGTATTGATAATAAAATGATATCTTAGGAATTAACAATATACACCAAGTTTACTACAAATAATAACAATTAAAGAGGAATGATTAAATATAAAAGACATTACGGTAAAATAAAACAATAAGATAATAATTAAAATCATTAATGTGTCAGCTGTCAACTGTCTGTCAGTAGATTATCAGCTTATCGTCTAATTAATAATGAAGGATTAATAGAAACATAAAAAAATAATAGAAATGTTTAATTGAATGAATGAATACTGAACGAATGAAATATTGAAAGATTGGAAGAATGAAATACAGACAATTTACAATTTTATCACCATTATAATATCACCATTACCCATTTGTTAAAAGGTCAATTATAAATATATTTTTGTGAATAAAACTGACCAAAAGTTATATGCAACTATCCGATATAGTTTTGCTATTTTATGTACATTCACTAACCCTAGTGGGGGTTGTATGGCCGAATGGTTAGCACGTTCGCGCTGTATCATAAGGTCTGTCATTGAGTCAACTGGCGTGGTTTCGATTCCCCGGTTGTACGTGATATGGAGTAGGGTTGCCTGTCCAACCTCATGGATTTTCTCCGGGTCCTGCAGTTTCTTGCCATTGCTAAAAACCCCTACGCGCAAGCAAATTATTGAAGTAAAATTGAACCATGTGTTAATCCCGAAATGACCTAGTTTGTGTCGAGTGGGCGTTAAACCCCATCTCTCTCTCTCTCCTCACACACACACACACACTAACCCTAAACATTAGATATTCAGGTAAAACAAACACCCCTCTCTCTGTCTCTCTCTCTAAACATTAGATATGCAGGTAAAACAAACCTTGCGAACATCTTCACATCATAAATAATTATAATAGCATAAAACACAATAAAAAGGTAAAAACAGATAAAATCCTGTCTGTTTACTGAGCACGGGACATAAATAAGGTAATCATGCGAGAACAATATAAATGTCCTTACAGCAACACCACAGAAGATGAATTACAAGTGTCCAAATATTTAACCCATTTCGCTCCAATTATTGTTTAACAAGATTGTCTATAATACACAATCAGATGACGAAACTAATAGATTGGAACAATATATCATGTCTTTTAAGTGAATGGTTATTTTGGGACGATCGTTTTGGGTAAAATTTTGGAATATATTTAGACAAGTAATCAAGGGACATTAATTTTGACAACTCAAGAAATATGACAACCATGTAAAAAATATGTATGCATTGTTATAATGTCAATGTTTGGCCATTCTTACAACCAATATTGTTTACAAGGCATTTTGTAATTATTTTGTCTGTGTCAGGCTTGATTTGTCCACCATACAGCAATTTCTTGACTTAAATCACTTCAAATACACCTGTATAAGCATTTCACTGAAGACTTATTTTTAGCCACCTGTGTTGCCCAGTCGTGGCTATTCCATTCACTCCCGCCACTTATTCGGTTTACATGGTTCTGCTAAAAAAAGGATCTTGGAGAGAGCTTCATCAACTTGGAAGTTTATCTTTAGACTTATAAGACGATCACAGAAGAACATTTAGCAGTAAGATTACTTATGTTTCATAAATAATATTAATAAGTCGGTGGGGTAGGTCTAATTTTAATATTCATAATGATCGCCGCCATTTTGTAAGACAAGATAGTATAACAGACATGTTGAACTAAATGTAAAGTGGAATAGGTCATGTAGAGAGTGCTAGTAATATTGCATCCCAGGGGCGTAGCGAGAGAGGGCGGGAAGAGGGCGCTGTTGTTATCCTCGGACGCAAGTGTTAAGAGTTGCACAATCATGTTTCTCTGGGTTCTGGTCTATAGTACCCGTTTATTAATGTCCTAGCCTTTTATTTTTACGCTTCTGCTAAAAGTATGAAATTATATGCTTGTTATAACTTTTATTCGAAACAATTATTAAATATATTTAATTTTATTTCCCTTTTCCGCACAATTAAACAAAATTTCGTAAAATAGACCTATAGTGGGAGCTACACACAGGACGCGGAGTACCCGTGTTACGCCATTGTTACAGCTGGATATGTAAGTGGTCGCCAAACAATTGGGTAAACATAACAAAAGATAAAATAAATAAAATGAAAGTTAGTTTAAAATTTTAATCCATCATATTAAAATAACCCGAACTTTCAGAATTAAAAAGAGGACAGTTCTTAACGCCATTAATCTGGCAACCAGGGCCGTACCTAGCTCAGAGCAATGAGGGGGGCGGGAAGTGTTCTCAGGGGGTTCTGTAAAATTGACAGACAACGTATACCTATTGTTTTTATGGTCCAAAAAGTTTTCACGGGGGGGGGGGACTTTTTGCAGCCCCCCCCCCCCCTAGTTACGGGTCTGCTGGCAACATAGATTCCTCCCCGACCCTCTTCCTCTCCCCTGCCCCCATCTCACTCACACACTGTACACGCACACCCAAAGACATACAATAAATAAGTTACCATAATTTTATCCCCAAATCTCTAAAGTATTGGACAGAAGACTTGTTAAACACCACCTCGTGTCTATAATAATAGTTGTAAAATGTTCAAGACAAAACGCTAATCGCTTCTCACTTTATTAAAAGCTTCTTAAAGAAATACTTTATTTAAATTACATCTAGAAACTCATTATTTTCACGTTCAACACGTGCATGTCAAGCCGGCCAAACATTTCACAAACCATTCATTACTTTTGTTTCTCTGTGTTTGTAATCCTACACTAACCCTTGATTAAAGACGCACGCGCGACTTTTTACTTGTTAATCCATTCGCCATTACTATGGCACTGTTTACAAAAACATAGTACGTGCATGCTACAAACGGTTATATCCGTTCATCTGAAATTATCTGTCAGTTTAAAATTGAATTATTAACACCGGCGCTCGACGGATATTGTATCTTGTAAAGGTTCGTTATTTTTATTAATTCTGAATTTTGAATCAAAATGAAAACGAAATTGATTTTAACGTCCGGGTGGGGGGGGGGGCATCGGATGAAATACGATCGTCATTTAATGACTTATTTTAGAATTGGAGAGGCGAGACTGAGTCTCGATTAACAAATAACATTGCTATGATAATAAACAATCTATGTCAAAACTTCAAACAGTGAAAACGTGGCTCAGAATAAAGTAATTTGAATGAAATTTTCCATATATTCATTTTTTTTGGTTATCTTTTTTTGAAATATTATAGCACGAACGCCCAGCTCTTTATCTAAATCTTACATAATGCATTTTAAACTCCAATTGATATCCTTCAAGGTAGAGGGTATTATATTTGTATCCAATGACAAGACTGATGGTCTGAGAAAGACAATATGTAGTTGTTCGGATGGGACGAAAAACTGATGTCGCGTATACACATTGGCGTGCACGTAAAAGAACCCTTGACGGCTGGAATATGAAATAAGGATAAGTTGTAGCACCGCTGTCCAAAATTCCCGCATAGCACACTGCATGGCGTATGTCCGTCTTTATTATTCCAGTCAGTGCAGAAAAGTAGTACGTTAAACCCCATTGCATGTCATTTATTTTAGCTATCCTTCTCATCTCTTATGGTGGTGGTCATTGTGTCATACTGGGTGTTTCTGTTGGCTTTTTATTTCGGAAGGGACGCGTTATGTTTTGTTACTGGTACGGGCGAGTTAGTGGTGGGATGTTTGTTTGTAATTGTTATTGTGTTATGACGTGTTAATTTCATTTTTTTTTTTAAATTGTTATTTGACCATTTGTTATTTTCATTTGTTTTTATAACTGTTATTTTCATTTGTTTTTATAATTGTTATTTTCATTGATTGTTAGCTATTTGTTATTTTCATTTGCTATATTTGTTATTGTTGCTTAGCTATTTCCTTTTGCTATAATTGTTATTGCTGCTTCGCTATTTCCATTTGCTATAAATGTTATTGCCATCTGCTATACAAGCCATTGTCATTTGCTATAAATGTTATTGCCATTTGCTATCAATGTTATTACCATCAGCTATAAATGGTTATTGTTGCTTATATTAATTATCTATTTATATGTTTGTTATTTTTAGAATATAAAGACATAAAGAAGAGATCAAGAACAATGCCGTTGTCTGTTTTATGTAAATTAATCGTGATTGTGTGTAAGTCATATACTATTCATATCATAATATACACCCATTAATCACAGTCAACCAATAAAGATGCATTATACAAGAGCTACATCTGCTGATTGCAGGTCTTTCTTTGTGCCTTAAAGATACTTTCCCAGAAAAGTATTTATAGGGTGGTTATTTCCAATAAAAGTATGTCAAATTTGGTATATATGGAAAATATAGATACCCAATCTGACTAGAAAAAATACTGGATTACCCGATAAACGCCCATGCGGCAAGCACTGGACAAAATTGTCAGGGTATCACTAACTGGCAACCCGACTGTTAGCTGCCAGCTTAAGTGAGGGAGCGGTTGTTATTTCTTGATCAAATGGTTAGGCGGTTTTGGGAACAGTTTTACTTTGAATATATTTTTCGTCCAAATATATCATCAAATCACAAAGTTTGTACGCGAGAATGTATCTTTAAGTGTTATATGAATTATAAATTAGATATTTACTAACTTGCCAAGACCATAATCAGCTCTCTGTGCCATCGGATGCTGTTGATTATCAACGGATTTAAACACGGTTGGCCGTCAATGGGTATCGGACACGGGTCCTAATTTTGTTCGTGCCAACCGAACGACTATACGCTCCCCCCTCTTAGGCCGATGAAAACCAAGTCAAAAAGGACTCACACCATGTTCATAACATTGGTCTGAACTAAAACAAACTCCCAAGTGTCATTTACCCTTCTATTTTCTTTTAGTAAATATTTTGCTCTTTTGGCGGTATTATTACTTTTAACATGCGCACGTCTTCATTAGCCCTATGGAGCCGACCAGTAGGACGTAAAACCCCATTTCTTTTAATTTCATTTTTAACATGCCCTCATTTTTATAAGCTCAGGTTTTTGGTGGATGACACTGACACTGACTGCCCACCACACCCATTGAATCCGAATTTGTTTGCTTTAAAATTTAAACTGATCTTCTTTCTTTCTAGGTATGACCAAGATGGTCTCCAGCCAATTTTACTGCCCAAGAGCCAGCGGATTCTTCGCCGATCCCATTGATTGCTCCAAATTTTACAGGTGTTTAGCAGGTCGTCCTGTACACATGCCGTGCCCCACGGGAACGCTATGGGACCAGAATATCGTCACATGTAATCATGCTGTCGATGTTGAGTGTTTTTCAGCCCATTCTTGCCCGGATCCGGATGGTCTTTTTCCTATATCAAGTGATTGCGGGCGATTTTTGAATTGTCACAAGGGCATTCCACGTGTCTCCAAGTGTCCGGAGGGACTCCATTTTAATGCGGATGTTCTCATATGTGATTATCCCATGGAGGCCAATTGTAAATCGTTTTAATAAAATGATAAACAAAATTGGAAAAAATGTAGTTTTTTTTATGCAGTGCATAATCGAGTGGTAGTGATGTGGTTGGATCGTGGGACGCCTGTTATGAACAGTATTAGCTATATAGTTCTACAGTTTCACCGGCTGAGGCGGTAATATCCTCGATAACTTACTCTAAAATGTGTCTATTTGATAAAACCAACTTCAAGTTTGGTCAAAGGTCACGAGATGTAAACAGGGTTAGCGCTAATCCCATCCATAACCCTAACCTACAATCTCGCCAACAATCATGTGCCCTAAACCCAGCGACCTTGACGAAAATTGTGCTGGTCTTAACAAATAGAATTAGCCCTAAAATGTCCCAGCTACCTTGTGTTCGAATGGAGATTATTAAGGCTCGAGTGATCGAGATTAACAGGGAGTGGAGGCTATTGAGGGCTGGGTAGGGGTGGACGTCTAGGGGTAAAGCACATCTCGGGTATTTACTTTAAACATGCATTATGCAAGAGCAAAATCTGCTTATTACAAGTCTTTCTTTAGGCCTGAAATGTTATCTAAATTATCAATTAGACATTAATTAACTTATTCAGACCATAATAAACTCTCGATGTCAAGGCTAGCCTTCGATGTTGGCTGGATTAGATTCCTATATGCCGCTAACGGCTATTGACAATTAAATCAGAAAAAGTGGATAATCGAGACTATGCTGTTTATATTAATGATTTTAGTAATGATGACCGAGACTATGCAAAAATTTCACCCGCTTCTTTCTCGGCTCATAGTGGATCAATTTGACTGAAATTTTCAGCAAATTACCTTTAAACTATCTAGTTTTTAACTATTATAGCGAGAACTGCCATCTCTTTATCTTATCTCCCATAATGTATCTTTAAATAAATTAAGGTTTTTGAGAAATGAAATGGAATGAGGTTTAATGTCCTACTATCATGCATCATAGGGTTAATGCAGAGGGGAATACGCCATGGAAAGTGTTAATAAATATTTTAATTCCTTTTATCAACTTCAAAGAGAGAAGTTTTGTCGGAAAAGTGGCATTTCCGCATTCTTTTCGTCGAATTCCATCTGTCAAGGGTTCTTTTACGTGCACGCCAACGTGGCAACCGAAGGAATACAGGCTGTTCCTTGTCAGCCCCAAGGGGGGTTGGATGGCCGAATGTTTAGCACGCGCGCGCTGTATCATACGGTCTGTCATTGAGTCAACTGGTGGGGTTTCGATTCCCCCGTTGTACGTGACAAGGAGTAGGGTCGCCTGTCCAACTTCGTGGATTTTCTCCCACTGCCAAAGACCCCTACGCGCAAGCGAATTATTGAAATAAAATTGAATCATGTGTTAGTCCCGAAATGACCTAGTCTGTGTCGAGTGGACGTTAAACCCCATTTCCCTCTCTCTCTTTTGTCAGCCCCACTCGCCCTACACCTTTTAAAAGGGGACAACGAGGACTAATTTCAACGGAATCAAACCCTAGCAACCGGGACAAACACAAACCGAAAAAAAAAAACACACTAGATCAGTCTAATAGAATGCATTATCCTGGTCAAAATCGATGAAACTTAGCTGTTTTCAATTTGGTAAAGGATGATTAAAAAAAACTAACAAACCTTGCATCAAATGAAAAGAGGAAAAATTGAGTAAAAAAACATAAAAAAAATAAAGCCCGAAAAAGCAAACAAAAACCACAGTGTAGAGGAAGGGAGACAACTATAGGATAAAAAATTTGAAAGAAGGACTAAGACTAGTAATTATTTCCCCTTATTTCATGTAGTGCGAGTTATAAATAGACAATTTTTCCCTTAATTTTTTTCTCCCCTCTTCCTGCATTTTTGGGTTGACTTTTTGGTCTAGAATTGGAGAAAAGGGATCAAATTTGCAATTTCATAGCAGTTTTGGGTAATACTGATGATATTACAGCGGAGGGATAGGGGGTGTAAAGTGTCTTTCAGCAGAGCAATCATTGTGTCGGAAGTGAGATTTTCACCCCTGTCAACTTCGAATCCGTGTAGCAAAAAATCTAAACGGTCAACCCCCTACAAAATTATGATGAGGAGATTGCCAAATGTTGTCCTCATTGTGCCTATAAAGAGTGGAACCAACGGAATGTTGAGCAAAAAGCTACAGCCTGTGATGTTACAGTCATTTAACATTGCAGTCAATGGGCAAATAATTGCTAGTCTGAGTCCAGAAATTTAAATTGGCATTTTTATTCTCCCCTGAAACCGAAAGACTGGTTGATGTTTAACATCAGTTACCACAGTAGTGATATCACAGACGGAACAATAGGACGTTAAACCTCATTTCACTTCATTCCATTTCTTTGACATTCAAACTAGAAACCGGTTGATTTTCATCCAATATAATGAAAACTAAATAATGTCATTATACACCAAAAACACTTTTCTTAAATCTTTAATTTTTATTTTATGGACAAATTATATTGCACCACATTTCATTGTACAATCATTATATATATATGGCTATGAAATAAAAAAAATATATAAATATGTTGATAAATGCGAACTAAGGAATTTATTATTTAGAATACCTATGGGGCTAGTTCTATAAGATTAAATTGGAATTTCGTTTCGAGTATATGGACATACATAATTTTTGTTGTTTTTGAAATTAAAATAAGAAATTCGACACATTGGTTGGATTTCCATGAATGGTTTCGTAAATCCCATGGTACCACTGAAATTTCTCTTGTAGTGAGTCCGTTCAATGTTACAGTGAAATTCGTCCCTTAGTCTTTGGAGGATCTATTGCGCCACATAAATAGAATACCTTTGGGAACAGCAATGGGGTAAGCACGTGACTGGCGGGACTAGAGCCTGAATGCTGAAGCCTCTAGAAAATAAATTCAATACCAAGATAGGCCAGATGATGCAGAATCGATGACCGGTTTGAGCACTGCGGTGTATGTCTGTAGGATAAAGCGATCTTATTTGACGCTACACTGTCAAAGTTTTCCCGTATGCCTGCAAATCGACATGTATTGCCGTTTCTGATATTATTGTTAATACTAATACATCTATCGCAAATAATTTCTTCTTTGGCTGGTGATGATCATTATATATTCACCAAAAAATCTCTAAAATTAAAAAAGTGACCCTCTTTGAATTACATCGTTAAGAGGACTCTGCCTTGAAAATACATTTAGAATAAATAATAAATAATTAATAATCAAAGTTATCCAAGTTATTTCTTATCGCCGTAGCGATCGTCGTTGTCGTAGCGATCGTCGTTGTCGTAACGGTCATCGTTGTCGTAACGATCATCGTTGTCGTAACGATCGTCGTTATTGTTGTCGTAACGGTCATCGTTATCGTAACGATCATCGTTGTCGTAACGATCATCGTTATCGTAATGGTCATCGTTATCGTAACGGTCATCGTTGTCGTAACGGTCCTCATCTTCATAACGACCATCGTTGTTGTAAACAGTCGACTTTTGTTTAGCATATTCAGCGTAGTCATTAGAATTATCAATAGAGCTATATTGTCGTGGTTGTTTTGTTGGGTGGACCGTGGGTTCTTTGTGGATAGTTGGCTGCTTGTGGAATGTAATTGGTCGTTTGTAGATTACGGTTTGTTTGCGTCGCCTGTATTCAGCATAGTCTCCTGAATTATCTATAGGGTTATAATTCTTAGGTTCCTTGTGGACTTTCGTATAGACTGGTCGTTCAACTGGTTTGTAGACTGGTCGTTCATCTGGGGTGTAGACGGGATGTTCAACTGGGTGCTCAACTGGGGTGTAGACTGGGTGTTTAACGACAGGTTTGTGGACTTTAATTACAGCGATCTCTTTACCTTCACAATATACATTTTTAGGGTAATCACAGAAACCTTTACCAGGAGCAACAGCATTAAACACCAGACCAGCTGGACAAGCTTGAACGTAGGGGATATTCTTGAAACAATTCACGAACTTGTTACAGAATCTGGGGTTAGGGAAGAGACCGTATGGATGTGGACAACTGACGCCGCTGTAACACGTGACAAATTCTTTACTATTACATTGCTGGACGTTCCTATCGAAAAGGGTTCCCTTAGCACATCTGGTACGAACCAACCCAGATGGGGAACATTGGAAGAAAGCGCCACAGTCGTTGGGATCTTCGTAGAGTCCGTATTTATATAACGGACAAGGATTAGCAACCATCACCTTTTCGGGCTTGTATGAAATGTGGTGGAAAAAACGCTTAAAGGTAGGTCTGTACTGTGGGCGACCAATGCTGCTACCATAATAACGTCTTTTGTCATCGTCATCATCATCATCATCATCTGTAAGGAGAAATACATATAAATGATTTTAACGTCCACACAACACAACGCAAGCAGGCAGTTAGGCCCAATACATGGTATATATTTAGTTCGTCAATTCGCATGCGCGTACAGCGATCTTTAGCAATGAACTGAAGCCTGATATACGATGACATGTGAGGGCACAAAACTAGATCTTGGCCAATCTGGAAAATATCTTTCTAGGGTTAGGGTTAGGTTTACAAGTTACATGTCAAACGTACAAATTGAAGCTGGATTGTGGGTAAAACCACTCTGAAGGGTTAGGGTTAGAATTGTGGTATAAACATGGAAAGATATTTTCCAGATCGGCCGAGATGCAGTATCGTGCCATATGAGGAGGTGCACTTCCTTACGCATCGATACTTCCGGTGTGGGCAAATGAAAGCCCTGCGATTACACGTCGAAACACCCCCATGCTCTGTAAACAAACGTCTTAATCAAGGGCACCATTTTCAAGAATAACTGATACATATAGGCAAATGTAGACTTTTGGACCCTACACAATAAAAAGTCTTACCAAAATGCATATATCTATCCAAACTGTATTCAGATTCGTCAATC